CTATCTATTGCAAGACTTATGCCTAGCACAACTGTCACCATGTTATTAAGTGTTCTTAAGTTTCGCAAGGATCTTGCCATGGTCGTGGTGGTATTATCGTGAAAGCCTGGTATAACCGTGACAATGCTATATTATATTGCAAGGCCTGTCATGACTGTGGTAATGTTTAAGCCTGATATGACAGTCGCAATGGTTGCAAGGCCTGTCACGACCGTGGTAATGTTAAAGCACAATATGACTGTGACAATGGTTATATTAAATAGCATTTAGTAGAATTGCAAATTTCATAGAATGATTAACTACCTTAAATATGTGAATCTAGACTTCTATACATGAACATGGTACTCACGCACATCGATACATAAAATTTTAGAATCATTTAACTCATAATTCATTTCCGAACACTATAATTTTAATCTCATTCAAGAACGAGAAACATTGTCACAGTCATATCAGGCCTTATTTATAATAAAGCACTGTCGCGGTCATATCAGGGTTTAACATTACCACGGTCATGACACTGGCCTTGCAATATAATATTACATTGTCAAGGTTATACCAGGCTTTCACGATAACACTACCACGGTCATGGCAGGATCATTGTGCAACATAAAAACACATGCTATCTATTGCAAGACTTATGCCTGGCACAACCGTTGACATGTTATTAAGTGTTTTTAGGTTTCGCAAGGATCCTGCCATGACCGTGGTATTGTTATCGTGAAAGCCTGGTATAACCGTGCCAATGCTATATTATATTGCAAGGCCTGTCATGACCGTGGTAATGTTAAAGCCTGATATAACTGTGACAATGTTCACGTTCTTGAATGAGATTAGAATTATAGTTTGTGGAAATGAATTATGAGTTAAAGTAGTAGTAGTATCCTAGATTTACATATTTAAGGTAGATAAATGATGACGTTTTCGATTACAGTATTCTCATGCTACTAAATGTCACTAATATAACCATTGTCACGGTCATATTGTGCTTTAACATTACCACAGTCATGACAGGCCTTGCAACCATTGTCATGGTCATATCAGGCTTTAACATTATGATGGTCATGACAGGCCTTGTAACCATTGTCACCGTCATATCAGGCTTTAACATTACCACGGTCATGTCAGGCCTTGCAATATAGTATAGTATTGTCACGGTCATATCAGGCTTTAACATTACCACGGTCATGACAGACCATGCGATATAATATAGCATTGTCACTGTTATACCAGGCTATCACGATAACACTTCCACGGTCATGGCAGGATCCTTGCGAAACTTAAAATTACTTAATAACATGGTGACGGTTGTGCCAGGCATAGGTCTTGCAACAGATAGGGTCTCCATAAAAATACTTGATAACATGGTGACGATTGTGCCAGTCATACATGTAAGTCTTGTAGATAGGGTCTCGAGAAGCATCAACATATAAGAGGTCACACACTTTATTAGCCAAACTAGAACTAATTCAAGATAAACGAAAGTCATTTACAGTTGGGGACAAAAATAAATGACAGGTCGATTTTCGATCACCATTTCCTAATTATGGTGGTCTGAAAGCCCATAATTTCCAATATTGTCTAGATATATATCCCTTAAAATTTGTATATTTTACATTTTGAATAATCTCATCCACTGATGTATGGCCTCTTGTAAATTCTCTTATTTTTAACATGGGAAATCCTCACTTCAGCAAATCCACCTGTCATTTATTTATGTCCCCAACTGTATGTACAATAGGAATATGGCAGTGAAATTTTTTGAAAATCAAAATCAATGGGCGATAATTCATCATACTCACTTTACGGGAAAATTACAAGTTTTATGTTGAATTTATCAGAAAAAATCATTACCCTGTTTGATCCTCGCTTAGTCTTGTTCACTTTGAGCAACTTCTTACCTTCAGATCGGCTATATTGATTACAAACTAACGGTACAAAACTTCCAGAAAGATATTTCGGCAAAATAGCACGGTTTAAGAGCGCTCTGATTGGTTGGATTTGTAGCACGGGTTAGGAGCGCCTCTATCGGTTGGACTTCGAACTACATTCCAGCACGGGTGTGAAAGCCCAACTGTTCTGGGCTACCCAAGTGTTCTGTCTCTTGCCCAACTGTTCTGACAACCTAAGTGTTCCGAGTTCACATATATTTTATAATATCTTAAAATTCACAAGAGAGGGTGCCAAAAGTTAAAAGTGCCACACGATTAAGAAAGAGAGCCAGAAAATGTCAAAAAATTGTCCATTATTAGAAATACGCACCCATTTTTTTCAAAAGGACAATTTTCCTGAACAAGTTGATACATACTTAGTATTCCTGAAACTGAGACCCAGTCTACATATATCGATATATTCTGTCCAAATATCCTATTGCTCAGGAGTGTTCCATGGTGCAAAGGTCGAACACCCGGGGATTTGACACTCCTCAATGGGTGCCCTGTTACACTCCCCTCCATAAGTTAGGCAACATTAGCTCCCCCATTGAACTACGTGTTAAAAGCCTCTTTACCTTTGAATTTTTATTTACTTAACCTACCATGAAAATACTTATACTATTAACGGAAACGTAATTTGACTTTATTTCCAATACCTCAACATTTTCTCAATTTTTTCCCTCAATTACAATAAGTTGAAAATTGATGATAAATTTGATGAATTTTGAAAATCGACATTCCCATGTTAACCAATGGGAAATGATAGGTTTGCCGCAAGTCATATGACAGAATATCCATCCATCCGAGTCCTTGCAAAAAAATACGAATAAGGCAGGCAATTGAATTAGTGTTAACTTTATTTAACAAAAAATTGATATGTTTCTTCAGGTTCAACAAAGTTATAGGGCTTTAAAGTCAAAATAGTTTTTCAAAAAACCTTTCCCATTGAAATAACTCAGGAGGCGAAAAATTATTTTCAAAAATGACTTTGAAGCGCTGTAACTTTAGTATTCATCAAATAAACTAACGTGACACTTAGTGTACAAAAAAGTTAGACAATTCAATTTTCTATATAATTTTTTTTTGCTGAATCTTTAACTGAAAATATATCCTGATTTCTGATTTGCCCGAACCCTCCATTTCCCATTGAATTACATGGGAATGACGATTTTCAAAAATTCATTAAATTTATCAATTTTCGACCTATTCTAATTGAGGAAAAAATTGAGAAATTTTGGAGGTATTGAAAATAAGGTCAAGTTACGTTTCCATTAATATTATAAGTTATCTCATCGCCGGTTAAGTAAATAAAAATTCAAACCTAAAGAGGCTTTAACACGTAGTTCAATGGGGGAGCTAAGGTTGCCAAACTTATAGAGGGGAGTGTAGTTATATATAAAAAAAGGAAAATCTTTTGTACATGAGACAGCCACATTATAAGTGATTTGATTAACTTAATTTCAACAGTCATCTCTGTAGAAATCTAAAATTGGATTAGAAATTGAAAAATCACCATATCGAGTGTATTTGCTAAAATAAGTAAACCCAGAATACTTGGGTCAATTCAGAATATTTCGGCAGGAGTCGGAATACTTGGGTAGCCCGGAACACTTGGAGCTTCACACACGGGTTTGATCTGAGGCCCAGGGTTTGATCGAACCTCAAACATGGCTAAATTCTAGCACGGGTTTGATCAACCTCAAACACGTGCTAAACTTAAGCACGGGTTTGATCAATCTCAAACACGTGCTAAACTTTAGCACGTGTTTGATGTGTATCCGGCATCGAGTGCTTCTGCTATTTCGGGTGTTGTAAACATGTCTCTCTTGGATGGTACTGAAGAGGTTTGGAAAACTTTTATGATAATTATGGAGTTTATTAATCCATTTGTACATGAAAAGGCATTTCAACTGCTTATTAATGTCAAATATATTCAAAATGTTCAGTTGTTTGAATAGGGGAAGGGAATGTGCTCTGTAGTTACTGTTTGTTGCAATACGTGTAAATTTTTTCTGCAAAATATGAAGGGAGTTTAACAAACCACTACCTGATTCACCCCAGATAAGATTGCCATATATCAAATAAGAGTAAATAAGGGAATAATAGATGCTCAAGAATGCTTTATCATTTAACAGTTGTTTGACCCTATATAGAATACCAATGGTTCTGGAGATTTTAGCATTAATGGATAACAAGAAAATATAATTACCTTATATAGCCTTATATTTTATATTATCACACCTTACTTAACTTTTGTATTCTTGATTAAATGTATATGTAAATTTGTTTTGATTTTGAAAATAATAATAAAAAGATAAAATAAAAACAAAATAGTTACCTCTCAAGGCTTGCAATTCGTAAAGATTGGAAGAAAAATTTGAAAGGCTTTAAAATTAAAAATAGGTCGAACATAGATTTTTCCACTTCAAGTACAATACGTATATCACCACTATATTATATTATACATTTTCGTGCGAGTTGTGCAGTCCATGCATTAACACGTGCGACTGACTGATTAATTATACAAAAATCATCCAAAAACTACGAAGATGAGGTTTAAAACTGGATCAGATGGAATCGCATAGGAATAATTTGGCAACTCCGACCATAATCTGTCAAAATTTCCAATTTTTCGTGTCAAAAATTCGACCAATTTGTGTTTTACAAAATATATACACCGAATGACGTGCAATTTAATTGCATATTTATGATCATTGTATCATACATCAGTTTTAAATCCAGTGCTTCGTAATTAATATCACAATTATGAGTTCAATTGGAGCTCTAAGATGGATGACTTTCTTACACACTTCCTTCAGTAGCACATTCTACATTACAATAAACATTCCAAAATACAATTGCAATACTTGGACATTTACTACGCTAGATTATGGAATTAAAATCAACAATGCAGATACACGCCGGTACATCCTGACAACGGCAACGTCAGATTCTGTTCTCACAAATGGCGGACTGAAGTTCGTACACTCGATTCGATTTGCTCCCTTTAAACTGATTCTAAATAATGGACAAAAACAAAATAATACTAAATAAACACAATATTACCTGGTGGAAAGTGCCATTTTGGAACACTTTCAGTAAGCCTAACCTCATGTCTGCCACCCATATGTTATTGTCGTGGTCACATTGAGATCCTGTAGGCCTCCCTTTATAGCCAACCAATAGAGATGACTGCAAATATGGGTAATAAGACACAAACATAAATCTCATGCTTAGGTTTATTTGTAACGTCTATGAGGACACTTTGATAATCTGTACTCAATGGTACTGACAGAATACCGCATGTGAGAGAACAGAGTGTGCACAGTTTTATTTAGTATTGAAATGAATTCCGGCTTTTGCTCGGTCATATCCGGGCATCTCGGCTCCAAACCCAATCAGAAGTTTCAATTTTGAGTGACAATGCATATTAATTCTCGAGTCTCGACCAATATATTTATGTATACGTTAATAAGTATGACAGCTTACCACAAATGGGGAAACAACAAATAAAAAAGTATATCAGAATTTACCTGATGATTTGTCAAATTAATTTCGAGTATTTCACCTCCTTTATATGACACCATGTAAAAATTTCCATCCATGGTAAATACAGGACCTTCTGCACTCGACGACACGTTGTTCACTATTTTGACAAATTTCACTGTAAGAAATAATCAAAACAAATTCATGCATTTATAAAATAATTTACTTATTTAGCTATATAGTAAACACGGAGCTCCTCGTGTGTGTTTCAAATGCTTTTCTTTACCTTTACACTCATGAAGACATCCTTTGAGGACTGCAGCAGTAATAGAAGCAGCAGAGGATGTGCAGTTTTCCCAACAGGACTTCCAAATTGTACAATCCTGTTACAAGTTAACAGACACACATAAATGTATATTTACATGATTGCACTTAATAATGCGGCGATGTAGGGAAAATATACAATGAAATTCTTGGGTTATTTTAAATGATGTACTTCATATCTTCATTTACCTTCATTGAAACTCCCGTATTCGCCCGGGTGTATTCGTGGTTCCCTCTTCAAAAGAGGAGACGCGAAAGATTTTGTACACGCTTTTCTTGATTGTACTCGGTATACTGACAATTAAAGCATTGAAAACAATTCTTCTCGTGGTGTCACTGTTTTATTTAGCGTGCGGGTGTAAAAACAAAATTGCGTAAATAGATTTAGAACTTTCGGGCCACGCAAATAGCTACGCGAATGTATCGTGGCAAAATATTGACCAATCAAATTTTGTCCTTTTTGAGGGCTTCTTAAGTTCGTACCTTTTCGATTAAAGAGCGAACCACGAAAGGGAAAATTGAGTTTTTCTTCAAAATACTTAATTTGAAAATTAGTAATGACATACTTTTACTATCCTGCATACTCTAAAACACCTTCCAAGGTTTAACTTTTTGCAAATTTTCATACAAGGTCGATATTTTGTTTTTGAGGTCAATCCTGAAAAGGTCAAATATGAAATATTCGTTTTTAACCAGGTCATCTAGGCGGGGTGGGATCGTCCAATTGTGGGAATATCCAGGAGCATTCATTTTGGATTATTATTTTGTTGACGGGATGGGATCGTCCAATTGTGGGAAGACCCAAGAGCATTTATTTTGGAGTATTATTTTGTTGACTGCATAGGATCGTCCAATTGTGGGAAGACCCAGGAGCATTCATTTGGAGTATTATTCTGTTGATGGGATGGGATCGTCCAATTGTGAGAAGATCCAGGAGCATTCATTTTGGAGTGTTATTTTGTTGACGGGATGGGATCGTCCAATTGTGGGAAGACTCAAGAGCATTCATTTTGGATTATTATTTTGTTGACGGGATGGGATCGTCCAATTGTGGGAAGACCCAAGATCATTCATTTTGGATTATTATTTTGTTGACTAGATAGGATCGTTTAATTGTGGGAAGACCCAGGAGCATTCATTTTGGATTATTATTTTGTTGACGGGATGGGATCGTCCAATTGTGGGAAGACCCAGGAGCATTCATTTTGGATTATTATTTTGTTGACGGGATGGGATCGTCCAATTGTGGGAAGACCCAGGAGCATTCATTTTGGAGTATTATTTTGTTGACGGGATGGGATCGTCCAATTGTGGGAAGACCCAAGAGCATTCATTTGGATTATTATTTTGTTGACGGGATGGGATCGTCCAATTGTGGGAAGACCAAAGAGCATTCATTTTGGATTATTATTTTTTGACGGAATGGGATCGTCCAATTGTGGAAAGACCCAGGGGCATAACATTTTACAAAATATATCAATAATTTTGGATTAATATTTTGTGAAGTTATACTATATTGGTTTTTAAGTATACTTTAAAAATACATTTTCATGCAAAACAGAAACTGAAAAGCAGCTTCTCGGAGCTTTTAATTCAAAAAATAAATTGATAAAGTAGTAAAAACTCCTGCTCAGTGGTCTTCCTAAAATTGAAACGATCGATCCGTCCCTTCCCCAAGGCTTGTAAAGACATCAAATGTTTAAACCCTCGTTTATATATATGGGTTCAATTCTTCATTGGAGTATACTGAGCATATAGGTTTTAAGTTGAAGTTTTTTAAAAATTGTAACATGACAGGTAAATATATGATTGTACGTACATCTAATTTTTACCAATATTATTCATTATTCGGCACACAAGGAATGTGAAAGACCACTGATTTAAAATTCAGGGCTACTTACTTGAAAATTATTTGTCGGCAGAAAATAATAGGAGAAAATTTGAATAATGCATCAACGCTTACCTGTGGCTAAGACTGTTAAAGCAATCAACAATGCAAAAAGATTTTTTCCCATGTTCATCTGGTACAATTGTATAGTCGAGTAATATGCAGTTACACAAGTATATCATATCGGATGATGCGCGAAATGACGTTGTTTTAAAGGCTATAAAAATGATTAATAACATCAATTTAATCTCAACATGACTTGTTATTAATAGGTGTTTTGTGGGTATGATAAGAGGGATAGTCCCTGGAAAAAAGAAGGTAAAACATCTTGTGAAGTAATTGATTATGTGGAAGTTTCATTCAAGACAACCCCACCCCCCTTCAAAAAATTTCCTAGCTCACCTAGGGTAATTGAAACTGTTAAAATGTTATTTGATATGTCACCTAGCTAGCACCTTTACTGACAGGTGAAGAAACACATATAAATTTATAATTTTTGACGGTTTTAATTTATTTTTGAACATACAATTATTCGGAAATACATTTATATTTATACTCGTATTTATACATACAGTTCATACATACATAATATATGTTAAAACACCATGTGTTAATCAATGGTAAGTTGGAAATCTTTGTTAAATTGTTTAACAATTTATCTATAATTTTGAATTTAGCATCCCCCTTGACTAAAAATAGCATCAACTACCAGGCCCGTAGCCAGGGAGGGGGGGGGGGGGGTCGAACCCCCCCTGGCCAAAAAATCTTTCAAACTCATGCAGTTTTTCACCATTCTGAGTACTTTTTAAGTGATTTTGGCCATTTTTGGACCAAAATTGTCACAAGTGAATCCCCCCTGGATTTTTTTCAAAAAGTGAACCCCCCCCCCATTGGCAAATCCTGACTACGGGTCATATGTATTTTCTAAGGTGTTCTTTACATTTGTCAAGTATATCTTCTATTAAAGAAAGAATGCTATTTTAATTTTATATATGCTTCCATTTAAAATGTCCGTCAGTTTATTGTACCATCTGCCAATGTTTCTTGTATAAATCGCGGAGATATATTATTTTTTCTTTTGAAGACACTGACATTATGGAAGCATTTTCAGTTTGAACTTAATTGTGTTACTGATGTTCTCAAAGTTTTTTCGATCTTTTTTTGAACGATAAGTCATGAAAAGGGTTTCATTGTCCATTTATCCACAACAATTTCAGAGTGTCTGCATTTTTGACGTGGTTTTACATATCGGTCCATTTCAGTTTGCATCTAGGATACAATGAGAATTAAAATGTGAGACGATCGCATCAGTTCACGCCTGTCCATTAGCCATCGCCGATTGCGCCAAAATCCACAACGGTTTCAATCTAGTTTCTGATAGTGGTTCATTGCGTCTTTCGATTCTATTCTCTTTCGACTGCGATGGGTTTAGGGTTATTTCTGATATAGTCACATTCCGCAGCGAGCTGGGAAAGCGAACATGGTCCACATAAAATGATAATAGCACAATCTGTAGCAGTGTCACTACGGATGCTTTGCATATGTCGAATCTTGGCTCTGTTTTCAGAGAGAAAGTACATGTTCACGATTGGAATGAAAATTCCGACGCAGGAAAGGACGAAACTGTCACCCACCGCCTCTGCGTTCCTCCCTGCCTGGACACAGGGAAGGAAGAATGAAATGACGCACACGCCCATATTCCCGAAGCAGCCAAGTATTCCTTGTTGGAAAGCGGGTTCCATTATCTCCTTTGCTCCTGGCATTGGTCTCCCCATATTTACGTTTTTGTGTTTCCTTTTGCAATCAAAAAATATTTGTCCGACTTCTGTTAGAAAACTAGTATTACTGACTTGTTTTGTTGTATCCAACGGATTGGCTAAACATGGTACATACTAGTATACAATAATAGTGCATTCATTCTAGCAGACTTTCGAAAGTTACATAACTATTGATTTTCACTTTATTGATTCTACCAATCTTGATACGGTGTTTCAATGGCTTTAGTCGTTTGTAACAATGGTCTCAAATGAGATATGGGTTAAGGTTTATAAGCTCGAGAAATAGTGAAAGGGAAGTCGGTGTGACATCATCATGGATTGGATAATGTAATGTCCTTTAAAATTGTTTAGGAAGGAAAGGTCCACGTGAACCCGAAAGTACATTTTAAATTACATTTTAACATCGTCATCTCACGTCCTCGGGTGTCCATTATTGAGGGGTATACCCAAAGGCTAGATATGTGGTCACGTGAAAAATATATTTTGTTTGTTTTGTCTAAATTTGAACCCTATTAAAGTCGGTGTAAAATATTGTAATCAAAAATTTCCTTCCTACAACATGCACAACATACATAACTTCACTTACGTATGTGTAACTCGTATATAAGGACCAGAGCTTGTAATTAAAAATATCTTAAGCCTACTTTTTCGATATTTCACACAAATGGGACGGTCGATTTTTTTCATTTTATATTTCACTTCGAAGAATTTTCCTAATTACATGTATTGCTAACAATATCTAGTAATGTCAAGAAAATTGTGCCTCTACGCTAAGCTAAAATCATTTCGCATTGGGCTCGTGGTAAGCTTATGCCAAGGTAGTTTTAAAAAGATTCCAGGGCTCAAACTGACAATTTTAGCCCAAAGTCACTTGAAAGGTGTTCAAAATGGTGAAACACATTTTGAATTTTCTTTGGCAACAAGCTCGAACACCCGGCTATGGGCCTCGGCTCCATTAGAATATATATCTAAGCTCAATTTTCTAAAAAAAATATACGCGGTGAAAAGTTGCAAATTGGGTAGTTATGCGGTAGTTATGTTATGCCTGGGTCACATTTGTTCCGATCCATCGGCCGGCGCCCGGCCGATTGAGTGTTTTGTTCAAAGGATAGGTATCGATATGGTGAACTGAATTCAACAATGTTTTTCTCTTAAACCAATTATTAAAAACATTCTGTAAAAACACGGTCATGTAATGTTGACCGATTGGCAACAATTTAATGCAAAAATTATTTGTATATATTTTATATAACTGTTTTTGTTAACATTGTTTGTTTTTTAGCGCAATTGTTTTTTTGTTCCTTTCTACCAATTCTTGAGAATGAAATAGAATGTCTTTCCGAACCTTGTTGGAACAAAATAGCATATACAACATTTTCTTAGACTTCTTAATATTATAGTTATACAAAGGAAATTTTGGTTGGTTTAACAAAAAGTATGCAAAAACAAAACCTCCAAAATAGATAAAAATTACGATAAACCTTTTATTTCATTAACAAGATACTTTTTAAAATCAACCAAACTTTCCATTGTACAATTACAATATTGAGAGACCTTAACACGTTGTGTTTTTGTCGTTTTGTTCCAATGAGGTTCGGATAGATGTTTCATTTTTGATACCAAGAACGAAAGAAGTGTCTGGTGTGTTTTCTAAGACAATATAGAGAAAAGTATATATATATAATTCAAATTACAATCCTCCCATCCAAAAGATGACCATTAAATTGACGATGTGTAAAATTTTCAGAATGTTTTGATGACAGTTTAAGAGAAACGCGAGTTCAAAATGTTCACCATATCGATAGCCTTTGTATTCAATTTTGAACAAAACACTCAATCTACCGGGCGCCGTAGTGAAAATCGTAGCAAATGTGACCAAGACATTATGGGGTTCAAAATTCAAAACATAAAGGAATAAAGAGAAATTGTTTTAGGGAATTTAGAAGGGATTAAGTTTAACATTTCTTTAAATAAAGACTAACACCCCAGTCACATTTGTCGTACGGAGGCCGTGCGTCGACCGCAGATCAATTAAATCAGTGAATTACTCGGGGAATTACTGCGGCGAGCGTAGGAAAACTATTATTGAGTTTAACCTCCATGCTATTCTTTCCTTTGATGCAAGTTGTGGATCTAACGAAACCACTTTTCCTCGCTAATATGACACTGATACTTAACAATAATATAAAACCACATTTCATCAGGCGATTTCACATAATATTATTGTGTTAAATGTTCATTTTTAATCGTAAAATGAGTCTTATTCTTACCAATTTATGAGACGAATATTTCAACCGGCAATGTCTGTCTGTGCGTCGCCAAAGTAAACTTGGTCAGCGAAACGAAATTGTTCTTCAATATTGATATTTATTATAACCATCCAGTATGACACGAATCTTTGCTTTATTCAAACAGCGCGTGTATTCACCCAAGTTTACTCTATTGTTATTTATAAAAACTTTAAAAAGCAATACTCGCAACATTATTGATGCATTTGATTACTGGTAATTTCAGCTCAAAGAAATATAGATGTCATTGATTGTGCTAGATTGTGATTGTGTTGAATAATTGTGCCTAAATATTAAATTATGGTAATTGTTCATGGTTTTCTGCTTGCAAAAACGTACCTAGGAATACACTCAATTGTTTATAACTGGGATCATGTATTTTACTCAGCATACATGCTTTGTAACAATTGTTACATTTTAATAACTTCAATGTGGTGATTATTGTGATAAGATTACATGTACAGTGATCTCCCCATGTCACTTTTACCGGGGGCTCCCCCTACTTGAAACCAAAGGCCCCCCAGTTGGCACCCAGTTGGCATCTGCACTTCAACTTCTGATTTAAAGAATGAGTGAAGTAAGCACCTACACTGAGATATTGTGAGCGTAGCGAGTGCTGATTTTTTTAGACTTGAAATCTTGCACCCAGTTGAAAATTTTTTTTGGGGAGAACACTGATGTATAAGCATGGTTGTTTTATTCCTAGCTCTTAAATGTATGATGTTCTTAATAAAATTAAACAGAAGTTTTGTTTATGCTATTTTATAAAACATATTTTTCTACAATGATATTTCATTTACTCAATGAGAGAAAAGTTAAACACATGTGTTTTATCACGATATTGGAGCAAGTAAATGTACTTTTAACCTATACTTCACACCTGATTATTTATCTCGATACCTCCAAATCTGATTTTTTCAAATCAACACTTTTCAGCTTTTTTCGATCTCATTACTCTAATGTTAAAAAACCTTACTTGATCGTCATTAAACATTCAGTCAAAATGATGTCATACTAGCTAGTATTTGAAATGTACATGTAAAAGTACATCAAGAAATATTGCTTCAAATATTGTTGATCAATTTTGAAAAAATTTTGTTTTGAAAAATGTAAATGCTACTACGGGGAGATTCAACATATAAAGTCACAAAAAGTGAAATATGTTTTCTTGTATTGGACAGATAATATTTTCTTTTACATTATTTTAATTTGCATAACTATGTCATGCTATGTGACCTGAATGAGCCACCTGGTGGTGAAACTGGTAACTACCTACTCGCATCTGAGTTATTACAATGGGAAATCACTGACTTTCTGGGAGAGAAAACTTTGGCACAATATATATTTAAACATGTTAAGAAAAATATCTAATTATTCAGTATCACATGCTTGCGTCTGTCCAAAGATGTTGAAAGCTTTAGCATTTTAGCCAGAAATTTACCATAATTCTGAAAATAAAACAGGAAAAAAAGTAGGAAACTTAATCATGTTTATCGCAAGCCTCCTACAGTATAACAATATTTTGTACTTATATATAGGATAACCGGGGTTCGTTTCGTTTTATGAACTTGTTTCGTTCAGTGTTGCTAACGGCGGTTTATTCCTGAAAGGATTTGCCATTTCGATGTTACCGGAACCAGAACAGAGTTTTCTAAACTAAGAAAAAGCCTTCTCCCAACATTTTCATAATTATACATCGATGAGGTTACAGGGGGGGTATGTGATGATTTGTATTTATTCATAAGGTATGTATGCATGCGTTGATCACATTATTTCTGTAACGATACCATCTTATTACGGTTTAATTAGTTCCGCATGTCGAAACCTGCTGAACGATTAAATGATCGCATCAAGGGCAAAATCATCATGGAAGTTAGACCTAGCCGGGGCCATAAGACATGTCAGATAAGAAACGAGGCCCAGGCTAGGTCTAATGTTGTTGGACTAAGGTCCCCGTAGAAATCAACTGGCTCAACAAGATTGAATCATTATTTGTCAATGTTTCACGATCACTTTTCATTTGATATTACATCATAGCACTATGAATAACATTTATAAATTGTCCCGATGTAAATAACATGAAAAAAGTATTATTTATCAACAGAAATCTAAAATTCACCGTGCGGCTGCCATGGGAAATGTGACTGCAAAAGTATGAGAGCGCAGAAATTCCACGGCGAGCGTAGAAATGTTACTGGTTGCAGAAATGATAGACCGCAAGGTCGCCGTAGGAAATGTGACTGGGGTGTTAGGAAGGCGCAATGCTGGAGTCAACAGTATATTGCATGAGCCAAGACAAGCGACATCTTTAGGTGTAAAAAACTACATGTATCAGATCAGATCAGATCAGATCAGATCGGAGATAAGTGATAAGTTTTATTTTGAGTTGTGGTGGTTTAAACTTAGGAAGTCTGTTTTAAACGGAAAATAGTTTTTTGCACTTTCATTACAGAAGTCATTTCTCAATTATGTATTCAATTTATAAAACAACAAGATCTTTTTTGTTTCATGCATGCAAATCCACCATTTTTAGAATTTTAACTTGCAGATATTGAAACAAGAAATTTTGGTTGGTTACCCGATGCATTTCTTTGAACATTCAGGAAAATGCTAATATTTCGGTCTTGACTCTGACCTAATTTTTACTTAATTTTACCTACTTTCTGCAATGCTAATATGACTAAACTTCACCAACTGGTTACAGTTACAAAATAGTAACCAGTTGTTACCATTAACAAAACACGCATCATATTATGCAAAATGACATAATTTATTCAAATAAAATACACCAGTAGATCTATAATCTATAATAGATCTAGCACAGTCTCGTGAAATGTCTCCATAAATTTACAACTGTTTTCCGGGTCTATATGCTAGACTGTGTCTGATGCTGAATTGTCAATTTGTAAAAGAGTCGAATTTAGTATCAGTAGACTGAAGGTCTGTCGACATATGGCAAAAATAAGTGATTTTTGATACTAATAGTACATAGTGTACGTAATAACCTTGAAATATTTCTGTAAATTATTAATGTTTTGACTTGGCAATTCACAAATTCTGTACAATATTGCCAATTTAAATATCAGACATTTACCAATTTACAACGTAATCACTAATCATATTGTATTATGTTACTAGTGATATTTGCATAACTCGACCATATAAACAATATCCAGAAAATATTGAAACCAATTAAAAAGTGCCAAATCAAACCACTTTACAGTTAGAGAATGTACTAATAAGATAGCACTGATATAAGACAAAATGTCACCATGTGGTAATGTAGATTATTGAAATTGATTTTAAAAAGTGAACATTTATCGTCCATGAATAAATATTGGCTGTAACAATGTCACAACTTCTTGGCAGTGACATAATAAATCCTAATACTGAATCTTCCACTTTGAAAGAACAGAGTTGTAAAATACACTTAATTAATATCAAATTCAATATTTTTCATATGATGTCTTTATATGCAATATTTATACACATGAAAAAAGGAAAAAAAAGATATAAGCCTTTCTACTGATCTGCCATCTATTAGCCTTCATACACATTAGAAATGTTTATTCCACTGAAATAACTTTAATAAATTAAACTTTTTTTCATAGTCATCATGTCTAACAGTTTCTACACAATTTAAGTGATAATTACAGGTACTGTGGATGAACCTTTCAGCCAGAGATGTTGCCTTGCTTTAATAGGGAGGTTAAGCTACACATACACTAACTTGTAATATTATGACCCCCAGGGATTACTGTCTTGTTTTAGAGACTGAATCGCAACTCCTTATACCTTTATACACAATCGAGCAAGCAATTAATCCATAGATGACCATAATTTTACACATTCATGTATAAGATCTTGTAAAACTGTGTAGCTAAAGCTAGCCATACACCAATGGGACATTGTCCGACTTTGCCCCTTCATCCGTTTTTGTCCCAAATTGTCCCCCGGACATCATGGGACAAAGTCCCATGTTGTCCAGTGATGTCTGGAATATAGCGCCATTTTGTCAGAAAATGGTCATATGATCATCACATGATGAAATGCCCCTCATTTGTCCAGTAATGTCACTCAAAAAGAATTAACAAACATGTTCATTCTTTTCTTGGGACACAAAGGCACAAAATTGGACAACGTCGGACAATGTCCCTGGGACAACTTGGGACACGTTGGGACAGTGTCCCCTGATGTCCCAAGTACCGGATTTTCTCGCATATACGCCCCCCTAAATTTAGGCCCATGGGCCAAAAATCGAATGTAGTACGCTTATACGCCCATGGGCCTATAAAAAATGACTATTTATTGATTTTTTCAATAAATTTTGTCACTGGCAGATCGTTCTGTCGTTACTTTGTTTCAACATTAAGTTCAACGCTGTGGCAGTGGTGGATCGTTCTGTTGTTACTTTGTTTCAACATTAAGTCCAAGGTTGTAGGTGACATTTCCTTTATAAATCTTACAAAACATGCGGTATGACTACAACAGTAGGTACGGTAGTCTTTGAGGAACCATTGTATTCATCAGCTCTTCTCACCTTTACGCCCATTGGGCCAAAAATCGAAAGTAGTACACTTATACGCCCATGGGCGAAAAATAAGAGGTAAAATAACAGACGAAATTACCCCTTCTTTCAGTTATACGCCCAGGGCTTATATGCGAGAAAATCCGGTATGTCCCATGGGAATGTCCGAACTTGTCCCTTCATGTGCCATGAAAATATTTTACTCAATAACTCTTACCCTTACTATTATACATTACACCAGTTTGAAACTATGGTTTCTCTAGGAGCACCTAAGGAATGTGATCAATATTTAATTTTGTACAATACTCATAATTCATGCCCCCCCCATCCCATTATGGAGGATTATTTGAGTAAACATGATGGCACATAAAGTCATATTTATCCTTACAAATCTTGCCACACATTGTGCATTGCCAGGGGTCATGCTTACTATGCAACGCAGAATGGGCCAATGAGAGAGCACAATCCTCAAACCACATCTGACAAAATTTACACCCAAACAGTTCCTTTGATTTGGATAATCGATCAAGTGATGTTTCAATCACTCCATTTTCGTAATGTTTATACGCTGGCTTTTGCGGTTTAGTGTTCATTATCAAGTCGCCATTCTGATGTTCAGCGCGTATTCTAGAAACATCTGCTCTATATAAGCTGTCTCCATAACTACCGACACCATTTGTTTTTGCTGTGTTAAGCCTAGGCGTTGGAGCAAGTGGTAATTTGTCTCTGTTAATTACACTGCCAGTCAATAATGACACCATCCTTGGTGAAGGTGTGCGAGGGTTGTCACATGTACTGTTATTGTCCTTAATTTGTGACTGGGCCATCTTCATGGAATGTAACTGGGCCAAGCTCTTTGCTCTGTTGATCCTATCTTGTGTGTCTATGTCACATGAATCACCCGGTTTGGGGCTCGTTTTCTCATCATCCTTGTTCGTATCATTGTTTGTGTTTGAATCGTTAGACTGCTTCTTACCTAATAGGGATCTTAACATTGACTTTGGGTCATCTACTTTTGTCACAGCAGGAGGGGTGGTGTTAGAACTGGATGTATGTAGGGGTTGAGACCTAGGAGATTCTGTGGGTGGAGCTAGGGGTTCAGATCTAGGAGATGTAGAGGAGTGGCTACCCCCAGGACTAGGGAGTGACTTGGGTTGAGATTGCACGGCAGTGGGAAGCACCATAGACCGGGATGCATCAGGGCTGATTAATGGACTTTGTCTAGGGCTAGTTGAATTTCTGGGGGAAGGGGTGACAGAGTCAGTTTTATGTGATGCGTAATTCAACCAAGCTGCGTTAACAGTCTCCATATATGGCTTACTGTCCACGTCATATTCATCGTCACCATTCTGAAAAACACGGAGAGGTCGAGATTTACGATTTTTCTTTTTCTTGATTCTGGCATTGTTTCCAAGTTCCTCAAAAAGAGCTTCATATAAGGGTTTTTCAGATGAATCACCTCCTGGGTCCTCCATCTGGCTGTACTGGCGTTTGACACCAAAGCCATTTCTGCTGCCTGGGTAGTCCATTACGTAATCATCATTGGGGTATACCTCAGTTTCAGGGTAATATACATAGTTATCAGTATTCCTGTATTTGTCAATAGAGTCCTCTGATCCTTGCCTAGGCTGAGGGGGTTCTTTTATTGGTTCTTCAGTAGAGACATGTATTGGGTTGAGAATGTCATCGAAGGGCTCCTGCTTTACTCTGACTAGGGCAGCACCAGGTGGTTCACCACTAGATGGGTCTGGTTGTGATGGAGGGTGTTTTTCAACAAGGGTAGACCTTTCAGGACTGTTTTCATGTGATTCGGGAATATTACTACCTAATTGTTCATTTGCCAGATCTCCAAATGTTTTAAGTTCTTCATTTTGTTCTCCATAGAGCCGACGTCTGTATTCCTGCATCTCGAGGTATGTCTGATCTGCAGGGAGGCGAAGATCTCTCTCGGCAGGTCCTTCAATCTTTTGACTAGAGCATTTCTTTAAATGAATGGCCAATGAGTCGCTACGTGTGAAGCCTTTGTTACATAAAGGGCAAATATGGTTCTTCTTTGTTGGTGAGATATGTAGCTGGAAGTGACGTCTCACATGCTCCTGTCTTGTAAATCGTTTATCACATAGCGTGCAGGCATATGGTCTCACACCACTGTGGGTTGACATGTGACGTAGCATCAGAGCCCGACTGTTAAACACTTTATCGCATTCACTGCATGAAAACATCATTTCATGAAAGTGAACCAGTTTGTGGTGAATGTTTAACTCGTTGCGAGTTTTGAAGATTTTGTCGCAGAATTGGCACTCAGAATTCTGGGAACAGTCTAATAAGTGCCTATTTAGGGACTCCTGGTACCAAAACCTCCTGTTGCATCCCTTACAGAGATGGTTCTTCGTCCCTAAGTGGACACTGACATGATCTAGCCATGACTGTTGGTTCACCTGAAGGGCATTACATACAGGACAGATGAATCCCTTCCCTGAAGGATGCCTGTGTAGTTCAGGGTCCATCTCTTCTGAATCATTTTCTCCTTGTCGATCCTTCTCACCACCAGGTTCAATATTAGCATCTGGGTCAACATCATCAGCGACATCATCAATCATATCATCATCAACATTTGCATTATCAATATGTAATGTATTGTTTGCTATGTTTTTATCATTGGAGTCACCATTTGGGCTATCAGGCTCATTAATATCATCAAACTCCATTTCAGTGTCACTATCAGGAGCCGCACCATCACTCCGAGACTTTGTATTCGTTTTCATCTTCATCTTGAATCTCTTTGTAGGATCAGAGCATGTTAAGTAGCAACAGAACCTGAAGGTAAAAATTATCATTCATGTATAATGCATGAAAATGAGTATAAAGTAACTGCAAAAATCCAATATACAGGGTGGGCCAAAAAATGTTATCAATTTTGATTGTATACTACCTTTTTAAATGTGAATACTTCAACAGATATTTTTTAGAAAAATGTCACTGTTTCTGAAGACATATTACAAATTAATGACATGCTGAATCCATCCATAATCAGAATAAATGACCTTTTTGACACACCCTGTAATTATACATACATCTTATGTCAAACACACAAATGACATGTGTGTTTATAATTCAATACAGAGTAAGGCTATAAGGTATGAACAATATCAAAATATTCAAATTATGATTCAAATACAAGGCTATTCCCATCAATCTGCCACTAAAGGGCTTATAGCTGAAATATGCATATACTGTATTCAATAATTAGTTAGCATGAAAATAATGACATGTTAATATTGTCAGGTAAGATTTGCATTTCAAAGCACATTGTAGAAATACAATTTGAATTTTTTTGTCTTTCAACTCACATTTACTAAAATGTAACACTAATTTTTTTCTTTGAAATATAGATGTCACAAAAATCAGTTTAAATGACGCTGGCTTATTTTTCATTTTTCTAAACGTAACTTTATATATTTTCTTTATATTATATTATAATGTAATATATTTCACTACATAAGGAAAGCTTTTAAAAATGTAATCTGAAAATGTATTGTGAGGAATCTTCCCAATCAAATGTTTATCAATAGTTTCAATCACTTCAATTTTACATCATTTGATAACAATTAAAATAATTATTTTTAAAACTCCAAGCTTTGTCTACTGAAGAAATTTCATGCTTATTTCTGATATAAGGAGAGTTAATCAATTTTCACAATTATTCAATACTTTGGTCTATTATTTGCAATGAGGTAATTTACAAGTATTGGTGATTATTAGATCAATCATTTAATTTGAATTACTTTTGCTTTTCAAATATTGCCTTATATAAACTTGAAATAAACAATTTTATCCAGTATGAAGCAACATTTGAAATATATAAGCTCATTCTCATTTGCCTTGGTATATTTAGAATCTGATGGTCAGTATATGTTTATTTGACTAAATGTTTATTTTTGACTAAATGGTATTTATCATAAACTGTCCTCACCTTTGGATTTGAAAATGAAGTCAATTTCTGCAAAGTTGAAGTCAATTCACTGCAGATGTTGAAGTCAATCTACCATGAAATAAATCCCTAAGGTGTTGAGATCAATAAGCTGGCGATGCCTGCACTAAGAGACTATTCTAGATGACTAATCAAAGCGCCTCTTCTTCAGTTCTTGGGAGACAATTCTAGATGACTATTTTAGATGACTATTCTAGGTGACTGTTCTTGGACACTTTTCAAATGTTCCAATCTGTTTTGTAACTGAAAATAAAATACATGCACTATTAAAATCATGGTAAGATCTGATGTGTGTTACAAACAGAAATACAAAAAACAGCAATATGTATACAACAAGTCAACTATGTATCAATGATGGTAAATGAATACTCAATTACATTTGTAAAATAATACAGTGTAAATTTATTATTGTTCTGAACTACCTACGATTATTCCTGAATAATTCCTATAATTTACGAATTAAATCTTTACGCTGAAAAGAAGCATTCAATCCTATCTTTTAACTCACAAGTATGTCGGTTGTCTGGTTTACTCCCCAGTTGAAGTTGAAGTAAATGTAAACTGGTAAATGTGCTCAAGCCTGGGGCAAATATATGACATAAATGGGACGGGTCATTTAACTTTAAAAAAGGAAAATTTTATCATTATAGCAGGTATTATTATTAAACATTTATTTATATGAAGATATTTATAACATCTGGTTTTATTCTGATTTTTAATTCCTGTGTCAATAAAATTATTAATGAACTGTCTATTGCTATGATGCTATATTAGAATACAAATTAATTTATAAAATAAAAGTATAAATTCATATGAGCCATCCCTTTGTGTTTTACAATCCATTATGCAGGGGTTTTGACCAGAGGGCTTGTACTCAGGTAAATCATAGCTTCCCATCACTCATGACATATTGACAGTGCCCTGAAGCCAAAACAACAGATTCATTTCTAATTAACACCAGGTATACGGCTGACTTTTGCCCGAAGCTAGGGGTTTATAGCATGAAAAAATGATAGATAGCATAGAATAGGCCCCAAGCAATGGGTATATTGTCAGAACCTATACAATATAGCTAAAAGCTATGGTATGACCTTTGCAGATGTGTTCGTATACATGCACAACGTACATTATTATAACCATGATAAACTACTTTGATTTTCTATATGCAATTTGTGTTCAACCAATATTATAACTTAAAATTTGTAATGTTATCTTAATTATATGTCTTTTGAATGTAATTAAAGGTGTATTTATAGCATTAGATTTTCTATGTGCAAAATTATTGGCTCAATCAATACTTGGAAATTGCAATTATAATCTACGGTGTAATCAATAGTCTAATCTTATTAAAGTATATGCAGACAATATGATTAAGATTTTTAAGTTTTAAGCAAAATAAAGCCTGATTGTGATTCCTTGGTCTCATGTAAGCATCATCTAATTCAAATTGTATTTCCATTATATTTGTGCTCATAAAATGTGAATTATTGTAGAAATTACTGAAATGTTAGCCTAAAGCGAGAACAAAGGAGAACTCAGCTGCACCTCTTTGAAAATTGGAAAATTAAATGACATCTTGTTGAAAATCTGTTTGCACCCTACCAAAAGGGTGAACTTTTGAAACATAATTTTGTCTACAAAAACAGACAAAATTAGGTTTTGGCTTCATGTTGCGAAAATTCCTTTGGAGATCACTTGGCTATTTGAAAAACAAGAAACACCTTTCTGTGTAAATTCATCACCTTATAATTAAACTAGGTATAATTTTCTTCAATGATCTGGCACTGTCTGTAATTTTAGCCACTTTTTAACAAAACATTTCATTTACAGATCTTAAGAGGGGCACGAGGGAGAGAATCTCAAGTAACAATTTAAAGATAGTAACCATTATACCAATTTGTTCATTGGTTCGATATCAACATATTTGGTTTGGCATTGAGTCCATATTTAAACATATTTGGTATGGCATTGAGTCCATATTTAAACATATTTGGTTTGCCATTGGTTCTATGTCTAAACATATTTGGTATGGAATTGTAGACATTTGGTTTTGAATTGATGCCATATTTGGACAACTGTTTCCATATTTAAACATATTTGGTACAGTATGGCAATAGATCCATATTTGGACATTTGGCATGGAATGGCATTAGGCCTTTATTTGAATATTTGGTCAAGGAGGAAGCCGTTATTAACTCGATAATCCATTGCCCAGTGTGGACCAATTTGGTAGGCTAACAATATTACTATATTGTGAAGACAAGAACTGCATGCCAATGAAACTTGAATATTACCATAATATTAATCATGTACATCTTCGAACGAAATAATTGGTCCAAAGAGAATTATCAGGAAATATTTTTACTAAATTGTTCCACGATGGGCAACTAAGTACGGGTTTGAATAATGGCTGCCAATCCTCCTTGACATTTGGTAGAGCTTTGGGTGTAACAATATGTTATTCCAAACTACATATATATAATACAAATTGGTTGGTGTAGGAACATATTAAATTCTGGCAGGTTGGTATAGAAACATCATTAGGATCCCATCAAAGTTAGTAAAGCCTGATATGTAAGACACCAGGACTACAGATAGGATGTACATGTACAATGTACATGTATCAGGTTTCAGGTATGTTTTAGAAGTGAATGACTTAAAACGCACCACAGAAGAGCTGTTGTAGCAACTTTCATGGTTACAGTAGGCCTAACTTACAATTCCCTGAAAACGATTGTGTACTTTTTGACGAAAAGTAGCTTGCGACTAAATTGACCAAATCGTAAGTTAGGACATTTCCAATTGTACGTGCCAATGTAATTTCAGCCATGGTTTGTACTGTCAAAATCCCACCCCTTGGGACAATCATTTGACTGATACAAAATTTGCATATAATTGTCTTCAACTTGATTGATTTATGGTTTTGATGTTGTTTGATTCACAGTATACAGTACAGTGAACACTGCATAAAATCAAAATGAACCAGAAAATTTGAAATTGGTTGAAGTTTGATTGTCTAGAAATTAATTTTTACAAAGATACGACATACATTTCAACTTTTACTCTGGTAGAATGAAATCTAAAATTACTGAAATAACACACATTTAATAAAAATACATTCGCAAACGAATACTTACAGTTTTTCTTTTGTACAGCCGCATCAATAAAATCTTGTTTTCTTTTTGCCTCAGGATATCCATGACGAGACTACAAATATATCAATATAGTTATTATTTACTACTTTTAAAATATAATATAATCAAAATGAATATCAATTCTAGTAGCATAAACTACAAAAAATATTTTAAATGATAAATTTGGTATTTTAATGATATTTTGTATGTTTTAAAAGATATAATATCTGAAATAGTTTGTCTGCTGATGGCTTGTTACTGATTCAAAATGGCAGCCCCCATGAAATCAAAATTTCGAATTCTGGAGTTTTATAGTGGAATAGGCGGTATGCATTATGCTGCCAAAGGTAAGTATATGTTTTTTATTTGTAACAAACATCCAAGAATATATAGCTTGAAATTTGAAGAGATTCATTGTGGAATACACACAGAATCATCATATTTGTTCAACTTCCGGTAATATTTTGGTGCATTTTGATTTTCATGATCTTGTTTTCTCCTCCCTACAAAAAGAGGAACATTTGTCCTGACTCCTATGATAAATATAAAGACTGTTCCTGGTTTCAGAGAGTGGTTGTGATTTCACAGTGGTGGGTGCAGCTGACATCAACACAACAGCCAACCAAGTGTACACTCACAACTTCCCACAGACAAAACTGCTGCAGCGTTGTATTGAGGTGAATCAGTGTTATATGCACATGTACTGTTCTCTAATAAAATATTTCTTCATATGCGTACATAACGATCTTTGGATAAGGTCAAGATAATGAGAAAATTTTGAGCCACAAACAAATCTGTTTTATGATGTGATGTCCAATGTCACGATAGTGGAGGTAAGACTTTGAGGGTATGAATACTACATTTGATTAATTATTAGTGAAACCATGTTGGCTTCTGGCAGTCATTTTAGGAATGAAAGAAGACCATCTATCAAATTTTCTCATTGTACATATTGCCAAGATGATTAATTTTTTGGTTACCATGTTCGTTTTCAGTTGGCCATTTTAGATGGTTAGATAAATATTGTCATCGTTATTCCAGGAAAACCACTGATTAGATTAACTTGAAATTTGTACATATGTTGGAAGTTACCACATTACAAACTTCATTTTTTATTTCTGGTGAAAATGCTATGACATACCTTGAATTTTACCACCCCCTATTAATGACATGTTATACCATTTCAGTCCTTCAGTGTCAAAGAGCTTGAGAGTTTGGATCCAAACATGATCTTAATGAGCCCCCCTTGTCAACCTTTCACCAGGGTAGGGCTACAGAGGGACTCGGAAGATCCAAGGACAAAGTCTTTTTTCCACATACTGTCACTAATTCCAAGGTATTTTTACTGAGTCATATTGATGATTACTGTACTTTTACTTAATTTGGTGGATGTTTTAATTTGGCTGATCCTTCAAATTAAGTAGCCACAAAATTCCCTAGTAATTTTAGTGCCATGTAAAATAGTACCATTAGTACATTGTAATGTTGCATGTCCAAATGTTCAAAACAGCACATCCGCCATAATAAGTCGGGCCAAATAAGTAGAAGTAAAATATGATATTGGGTTTCCTTCTGTCTTTTCATGAACTAAGTATAAAATACAGATTTCACTAAAGGTGAACACATTTTGAATATAAATGAATGAAATACAAAGCCTGTACATTTTTTTAGGTTTAAAGATTTTTATTATCATCAAAATATATTACTTAATTTTGCAACAATACTACTGGGGTATTATTGGCCCCTGATATTTAAATTGTGCATAAAATAAAACAGTGATTACATGTATAATGAAATTTATTTAATTCACCAAGACAGTAGGGACAAGACTGCTATTTATTGTACATGAAGATATACATTATATTACAAATGTCATTATTGTTAAAAATTTGTTACAATTTAAAGACAATTTCATCTCTAATAATTCATGTATCCATTTATATTGCATTCTATTCCATATTGCGTTTCTTTCAGGTTGCCCTGTATTCAGTATATTCTAGTTGAGAATGTGAAAGGCTTTCTATTGCATTTCCTTTCAGATTGCCCTGTATTCAGTATATTCTAGTTGAGAATGTGAAAGGCTTTGAGACTTCTCTCACCAGGAACCAACTGGTAGATACACTCACTAAATGCAGTTTCACATTCCAGGTAAGAGAACTAATGTTTAATGCTTTTCTCAATTTATTGTTTAAATATGAATAAAAAAATATCATGAACTGTTTTTTGTTGGTTATTTTAGCTCAAATAATAAGTAATAAAGTACATTATAGTTTTAACAATTCACCACTGAAAAAAGCTAAATCATAGCAAAAGAACATGCTAAAAATTGAATTAATTTCATTTCAGGAGTTCCTGTTGACCCCTACCCAGTTTGGGGTGCCCAACTCAAGGTTGCGGTACTACATGATTGCTAAGCAACCCCCATTACAAATGAACTTCACTGTACAGAATCACGTACGTGTCAGTGTTGCACATGTTTGTCCTGTACGACCTTGGTGCATTTAGTGGAGAAATGAATTCTTTGCATATGATCATAAAAAAATGTTTAATTTTTGAGCCACTCTGTACAGTCCTGCATATAAACCAGTAAAACTATTAGGATTTTGTTAAACGTGTAAATTAGCTGCCTCATAAATATGCTTACATCTGAACATTCTTCTAAGTTTGTATACAGCATTATATGAAGTAAAGAAAATTGAAAATAACTATTAATGATCAGCTAAGACCACAATCTCATGTGAATTTTAATGTTTGTTACAAGTTCAAATACTGACTCCCGATAATTTTCATGCGCTACTATATTTTGCGAGTTTTGGAAAATTCGTGAAATAGCCGTGAAATTCCTACAGTTCTAATTCGCGAAATTTGATATTTCCAAAATTCCAAGGAAATTCCCAGTGATATTAATGTTGACAATATTTTTGTCCAGTGCTGGGTGATAATAGGTAAAAACGTGACATTTCGAGTTTTGAAAAAGGAAAATTAGAAGAGAAATCAATATTACTGTATTAAAATGAAAATGAAATGGCTTAATAAGAAGCCAAAATCATTGGCAAAGGAACAACCATGGCTGATATCAAAGTTGAAAGAGTGATCTTGTCTGACAAATTCGCGATTATTAATAGCCACGAAATTGAAAAAATTAGCGTAATATGATAGCCGCGAAATTTCAAAATGCGAAATATAATAGCGTCAAATATTAGTGGGATTACAGTAGTTGGCCTATAATTTTAATAATTTTCAACAGGATTCAGTCGCTCTTATGCTGGGAATATCATTGCATGATATATTCCAAACAGAAAAATATTCGGTCCCCAGACTGCAGAATGTGAATTTTTATTTCAGATTATGTATGAGTTACCAGAGGCACATGCAGAAAAGCTGGGAGAAGTATCATCAGCCATAATGCATCAACATGGGGATGTCCCTCGCCATACAGTTGAACACACGGATGATGCCAATATTGTTGACACTGAATCAGAAGATGATGGTGTTCCCAAAAGACTTAAACTCTCAAATGATGAAGATAAAATGAATGATAATGAACATATCACAAAAGTGGATGAAAAACATGCTACTACCAATGATAAACATAGTACAATAGTAGATGATGAACATACTCCGACAAAGGAGTCTCAACATGATAAAAGTGCAATTAAACTACATGAAAAGTATACACATCTATGCGAGCCTATATCTAAATACCTTGAGAATGAATCTGAACATTATTTCACAGACTATTTAGTTAAGGATAAGGAACTGAAAAGGGCATGGGTGATGGACATTGTGCAGAAAACTTCAAAACTGTCATGCTGTTTTACGAAAAGGTAGGGTTAATTATCCAACTGAACATAGTTCGGTAGTGATATAATGAAGTTAGTCCTACATACAAGCCTTGAAGAGTACTTAGATGTGAGCTAATATATATGACAGCTCGGTTACAAACTTGACAAAATGTTTATGGAATTTCTGGCTTGTTTTCTACACATTTTTGCACCAATTTAGGTGATAGACCAGGCTAACCAACCAAAACATGTGTGATCTCAAGTTGTAGTACAGCCAGATTTGAATTCATTCATTCCTACCTTCATTCATTTTAAAGGCCTTTATGAAGCCATTGTATTGTCCCCCCCCCTTCATTTTCTGAAATACCAGTGTCTCAATTGACTCTGAATGATAAATGTCAGAGGGGAAAGGGACCGATTTGGAACTTGTGTTTTATTTCATAGTGTTAATTCTCCTCAATGTTGCATTCCAGATATGGCCACCATATAGAGGGAGCTGGCTCTCAAATACAACAATCACAAATAGATGTAAGTCTACATTTTAGTACACTGTTTTTGCTAAATAAGGCCACTTTTTCTCTTGTGCGTGGGTGTTTTATTCATGTTATTAAAAGCCCATCTTGATAACCACAATACGTATGTTTGACAACAGACTACAAATAGGGACTTCTTTTCATTTTCCAAAGTAAATGTCTAGGCGTGGGTGGGGGTTGTTTATGTGCCAAATGATCTATTATTGTGCCCAGCATAATTATTTTATAACTGAGCAATTGATACCTATGACTTGAAAGCTGAAGTTTTGTCTGTGAATCACTCTAAGCTAAATGTATAAATGAAAAAATGATTCTTCCATGTTTCAGATGTCGACTGTTTTCTCTCAGTTGAAGAAGCCCATTTCACCAGAAGATCTGCCAATACTTCACACACTCAAGCTGCGTTACTTCACTCCTAGAGAAATAGCAAACCTACTCTCTTTCCCACAAGAATTCAGTAAGTTTTTAAGATTGTTGAGCATTTGTTCAAGTTATCAGTGAGTTATTATTTAGGACATCATGGGGGATGTCAGTGAGGATGTAGCTTTTACTTAGGATGGGATTGAGGCTCTAATTTATGATGTCGATGTGGGCATCATTTAGGTTATTGAAGTTGTCAGTGATAATGTTCATCTGTAGTGTCTGAACATACATGTAACATATAGAAAGGGATAAAAATATGAACTTAATTCATTTTGATGCTTCTTTGACACAATACAAAATACTACAGCACAACTGTATTTACATTTTGCCATTTTCTTCTTGCAGGTTTCCCAAAGCAAACTAGTACAATACAAAAATACAGAGTCCTCGGCAACAGTCTCAATGTCCTTGTGGTCTCAAAATTAATCAAACTGATGACGTCATAGCAATACTGTTGATGTCTTAGCAATACTGATGATGACATGACATATTTTATAACACTACTGATAATACCGTAACACATCTGGGGATTTCATATCGCAAGAGATGAACAATTGGTGAAGTCATATAAAGAAATACTGATATTCTAAATATATTCCGAGCATAATGACTGATGTGCTTTCAAATGATGATGTCATAACATTGATATTATGTGTTGTTAAATCACAACATTGGTTTGACTACTATGGACAAGTGCTACTCTACTAAAACAGTGCCATACTGCAATATGTGCCTATCACCACGAAGGATGTCATGACAACTGAGGGTATCATATCATGACATTCTATTTTAAATATATTTTCAAAAAATAAACTTGTCATGCGATTGCCAAGTGACAACAACCAATATGGACTGATTTGTATCTTATGCTTCATTTTAAGATAATTGAATAAAAATGAATCAATAATAGATATTGCTAATGATGAGAATATATCTATTTTTCTTGATAATAAAGTATGCTCTTAAAAATTCATCATGTTGTCTGAGGTGTTGATCTCATGCAACCTCAAAAATCCCTTTCAGGCCTGTAGCCAGCATTTCCCAAGGAAAGGGGTTCACCTTCAAAATTTGCAGGGGGATTCACATTTGACAATTTTGAGCTATTTAAAAACTGCATGTTCAGACTTTTGCTGCATTCCTCAATTGAGTCACATGTTATTTTTCAAATAGGAATCACTCCTTCACCTCCTTTTCAGGGAGAAAATTAGAAAAGATTAGACAGGTTTGGAACCAGGTAAGAGGAGGATTAACCCCAGAGTTCAAAGATGACATACGCTTAAAATGTAAACCTGTATTGAGATGACGTACACCTCTGATTGGTCCAAATCGATAAACAAAAATGGCGGATTAAATTTTTTTTAATAACGCTTCGAATAATATTATGTTGATTCCTGGCATATTAACCAATATCATAGCATGTTTTTTTCACATCAAGATAAAGAAATATGTAAGGAATATGTTTACATTGATTAAAACATCATGACGACGCGCTATGTTCGAAAATCAACTGGTGAGAATTTGTGCAAGCGAAGGTGGTATGCAAGAGACGTATTATGTCAGTCATTGCTAAAGCTCTGGGGCTTTCCCTCTTCTTGAACCAGGTATTATTCTGTGCACATAACAACCCCGGGATTATGAAAAAGCAATTACTGGACGAAATCAAGTTTACAACAGTGACATCTATTCCACACGGAACTTAAAATTGAACTCTCGACAGGTGCGAGATGTTTATAGAAAGTTAGTTTGTTTTTCATCCTCCCTATGTTTCCAATTACGATATTTCTTGAATTTAAATTTTGACTTGAAATATGTTTGATTTCAGGATAGAAGGATACTTTTCAATTACATTAATTCTTTATTAAATTTAATAGAATTTGATGTGACATTTTACTTCAATTTTTTTGACAGACTCAATTAACAGAAATGCTCAAGTACAGGGAGGAGGATGTCAAGATGGAACAGCTGAGAGGGCTGGGTCCGCCATGATTGACAGTCAATAGCGTGTATCAGTTGTAAAGTATTTTTACGTTTTATATGGATTTACATCAATATCCGAGCTCAAACCACTGAATTTCGGTAAGTATACACAAATTACTTAAATCTGAATAGCTGATTTATGCTAAATGATGTGTAAATATAAAGGAATTTGCAATTTGAACGTTTGTTTTGCTTTCTAAAATTGGGTCAAACTTCATCACCGGAATTTTTCAATTTTTGAATTTACCTCCTTTATTTAGAGTATTTTATAGCCTCTTAAGTTGGTTATATGGACATGATTTAAACCCTGATCATGTACAAATCATATGTTATAGGGTTGATTTAGGGTGGTCACGTCTAAAGCTCTTCCTGGTGCACTTTGAAATTTGAATTTTTTACACAATTATTTTTCAAAGTTTTGCCATTTATAAGAACACTAGTCCTGACCTTATACACACATGAAATGAGATTTTGTTGCTAATTCTCCAGTCGGTTATCGTTTTTATGATTTTAAATTCAAACTGCTTGGTGTGATGTCGGCTAGTAGTAAATCAGACTGTTTTTGATCTGGACACAGTTCACAGCTCAGAAACGTGTTCTGTACCCTGAATGACCGAAGGGAGTGAGGGATTCGAAAGCTTTTGTGCCTAGTCCTAAGGGGTGTAATCAATGATATTACCCCTGCTCTGAGGTCTATATTACGATTTGAACATGAAAACTCACCAAAATGTGAATATTCATGGTGCCATATAAGGCCAGCCGTTATAACGTTACATATTACTCGTATTACCAGGGGTATTGTTCGCGAATATACCCCGGGTAAAATGTTGACTTTGTTTACAGTTTATAGAAGGCATGAATACAGTCATGTTCGAATTGCTAATATGGATACTAATGTCATGCATCAGTTTGTTGACCAGATTACCACAACATTCTGTATCTCAGCAAAATTGAAACAAATTCCATTTTCATATGGATATACGTTTTATAAAGGACAAAGGCGTTTTTCTCTGAATAATAACAATATGTCTAAGACAGTGAGACAATGAAATACTTGTTGACCACAAATTTGGTCTCATATTCAACTGGTGACTAATATGTTACTAAAGGTTAAAGTAGTCTCACTTCCTATTCATTTCCTAAGGTCATATATACACTAATGTTGATACTGATACGTCCTGTATTATTTTAACACCCTATGCTGTTAATATGCTGTTAATATACACAATGTAAACGTTTCATATTAGGAAAATAATACATGCATTTAAGGATTTCTTAGAAAGGTTGAAATGTTCTCGTTCATTGAGATTTATTTTTTGTATTATAATCGAAAATGAGTCTTTTACCTTGAGGAGATAAAGAGTCTGATACATGTACTTGCAAGTTACAATATAGGTGAAGCTCTCTTTTAAAGAACTGAAATCAGCTTATTGGAAAGGGTATGTGTCTTAGAAAGGAAGGCAAATATTCCATGGGATTGGCGAGGGATGAGTTACTTATATTTTGTGATTAAATGCTCTGAAAGATCATTAACTAGAACCCCTCAAAATGATGATCTGTATTGATTTTTGTGTAGAAAATTACATTTTGATTCTAATACAGGAAGTAGAGTCTACAATATTATTTTTATCTGATAAATTTCTAGGTTAATAACAAATATACAGGTGCGCTTTCATTTGTTTGAAAAATGATCAGATGTACAAATGTAATGTTTAAATTATTCGTGATGAACATATTAAAGATACCCATGAGGCTTAAACTTTGTAAGTTGCATGTCAAAAAATGTTCTTATATAATTTGATGCTCCTAAATGTTCTATCATGTTATTTGGCTATTCAGTGCACTGGTGAAATAGGGGTGAAATGCAGCTTGATCTAATAGGGAATTGTCATTTTATACGGTTCACTAAATATGATGTTTTTATTAAAACACAAACCTGTCTTTTCTTCATAATGTTGGTCAAAGTCTTCTCATGTTCTCAGGTCTACTTTGTTGTTTGATGGTGAATACATGACATACACCTTCCCAAAGGGTGATTTCTCATTTTCAAAAAGAGCTGAGTAATTATAACTTCTGGCAGAGTTCTCAGGTACATGTACATGGCATATTATTAGTCTTATAGGCTTCAATGTATGAACAAAGTCTCCATACAGGTGGAGCAATATGCTTGTAAGGAGGGGGTACAATAGACTGATATGAATTAACCCTTACGTGCAGAAATAATAGTGAGAAGATAATGAAAGATTGTGACTGTGAGTTAGTTAAAATAAAAAATGTTAAAGGCCTTAATTTCTGTGAAGTAGAAACCCAGGGTAAAGCTATTAATTAAGCTGTCACAGCTCAGCCAATCAGTGCTTATGATTTTCTAACAATGTCCATATATGTTATGATCTAATGTTGGCAAGATTTATAAATTATCGTTTATTGGAAGAGTATAGCCAAAGCCTTATTTCCAAAGGGTAAATGAATATATGGTACATCTATCTACATAATGTTCAGAGGTAATTGGGAGATTGGTGTTTGTGTTATTTGTTGTCATGCTATAATTAGAATGTATACATATCACTGATAACTGTGTTGTAATTGGTTACATGTTAATTACATAGCCAAATAGCTTATAGATCTTGCTGTTAGATATTGTATGATATTGTATGCTATGTTTTTTTCTGAATGATCAATGACCAGTTGTCATGTAATCGTTTTTTATTATTTTAACGCCATCCCATCAAATTAGTCTCGTCAGTCATTTTTCTATTTCACTGTCTAGAGATACACTGCTACCCACCTAATTACACAGACGTATCGTCGGTGTATCATGGCGGAACTTCCTCCGGGACTAGGTTTCGGTAAGATTTTTTTATTTCCCGATTTACACCTACTTATAAGTCACGTTGTAGATAATAATTTGGCTCGAAGTTAAGGAAGATAGTCTAGTTTGAGAATGTGTCCATGGTTTTAGGTTTTATATGTTAACAAAGACACAATTCACGTATTTAGTCCCTCGCTTTTCTTACACTGACGATCGGCATTAATATTGCCAATATTACACTGATATTGGTCGTTCTTCACCGTTATTAGGTGGGTAGCAGTGAGATATCTGAATCTGACACAAAATGAAATTTTCTTTCACCCCTCCTTACATAAAAACAAATACATGTACATTTTTCACCTGAGGTAAGTGACTTCTTACTTACTAGATAATGAGATGTTATTGTTTCTATTTGATTGATATTCAATGCTAAAGAGATCACTGTGCCGTGAATCTAGAATCTTGATACGAGATGATTGATGCCAGATATTAATTTGAGTTTTAAAGCTATGCGTCCTATTGCTCCTCTTCTTCAAAATACAGTGATTAAAAATTCGAACTAAGTTCAAACTGTTACCATGAGGACATTGTAGGACCAAAAGTCTGTACTTCCTTTGGAATCTCTCTCAAACTTTAGTATTAAGGGAACTACTATGAGAGTATGAACCTCAGTCCAACCCATCTTCAATGCAAACCAGATATGAATCTGTCTTAACTTGTATTCTAAAACTGCATGATTTATGGACAGTTTTTGTTATAAACTACATAGCTGAATGTGTACAATTTAACCTGGGGTGACCTAGAATGCACATTGCCTGTTAGGCCCTGGATTTATCTATCCAACTTGACTTTCTAAGCTTTTTTATATATTTTTTACACTTCCAACTAAGAAACAAACGTTTGAGATATCACCCAGTGATCTCGATCTTCTGCGGTCCTTTTCTAACATTAAGGAAAAGATCTACTTTAAAATTATGTGAACATCTGAATTGGAACATTTATGTGCATCAATTTAAATCAATACAAACACGTAAAGCAGAGTTTTTATTATATATACATGGGACATCAGTTAATTTTATTCGAGACTATTAAATCTTTTATACTCAGAACTGAACTGTCTGCAGATAAGTATTTGTTTGTACATGTAACATTGATATATACCCTTTTAAAGGGTGAAATCAGAAATCAAATATTTCTTGCAAAGCTGCTCAGTGTTAGTCTTCATTTTATTGTCAATAAAACTCTTAAACAGCTTTTTGTCAGTCTGAGTTTTTACGTTGGTGGGTGCTAGGGTCAAAGTACCTACATTCTTATGTTCAATTTTTCTTGTTAAATGTGGCATACTGCCAAGTCATAATATAACTTTCAGTTATTTTTGTGACTTTTGACTTCTAGGATAGTAGTAGAGTCCAACTCGATGGAATATCAACTACACCAATGCTACTACAGGTCAATCCATGAGGGGATATTCATACCATGTAAAAATCTAGATATTTGTGGAGATAGACTTGGTAAAATGATTTATACTTCATTTTTGGACTTTAAAACCTTAGGGACCACCTTAGACAATTAATCATAAGTTTTTTAACCATTAGGGAAGCTACACTCACTTGCTATACCTATCAGTTTCAGTTGGTTTAATTTAGCCTAAAACTTGACCTCCCGTTCCTTGTCTAAATCAATTGGGGTTTGAGCATTTAGATATGTTCCTTATGAAGATGCTATTTCTATCAGTTTTAATGGCGCCTCTTCTATATCTATATGTTCCTTACAGGAAGATCATGGTAGCCCTGATTCATCAGTTGGAATACTAGCATCTGAGTAGGGCCAAATATTTTTGGCTAATCACGAGAGTACAGTAGAGCAAAAAGGTTAGCCTATGATCCCTCCTTCACCTCCCTAGAAGATAAGGGGGGGGGGGGTCCAGAGACTTGATTTAAGACTACTTCATAGTCACATTAGCCTATAATAGTTTATTGTCATTTTAATTCAGAGAATTTATTATTATAATGATGATTACAAAGGGTATGGTAATTTCAATCTACACTACCCTGGCTTCATTTACCAGTGTCATCCAGGTAGCTAGTGAATAAACTTTATCAATGGAAAGATACATATTGTCATTCTGATACTCACAGCATCTTTCCATTCTGATACTCATAGCATCTTTCTGTTTCACCTGAAACATCTCAGGGCTGAGAAAAAATGAGATGTCATGGCTTATCATGATGACATATTGTTTCATTCTTGAAATGTGCTATTAGCAAAAAACAACTCTTTAGCACATTCTATATGATTACACTAATAAAAAGCTGGCATTTGCCATATTCATTAGGTTGATTTACTATAAAGCACACAAAGCTAGCAATTTGCAGACAGATTCATGCGCAAGTTCAGCAACTCTCCACCCTTGCCAATATATCATTGTGCAAGATTGCTTATGCTTATTGAAAAATGTGAACTTTCATAGAAAACAACCTGTAATTGATTGATTGTTTCTGTTGTAAATAGTTACATGTTGATTATTCAATAATTTTTTACATATTTTTTTGTTTCCTTTGTTTTCCTATTTGTATGATGAAACAGGATATTACACATGCACGTGTGCGATAACATGCTACAGACAAGACAGTGTATGTTTTTTACGATATGTGGAATACAGTTTAATTTAATTCATAATTTTTATTATTTTACAAATTGCAATAGCTATAACATGTCATAGATACCCGAAATGCATAATGCCATGTAACTGTAATAAATTGTAAATGATTAAGACTACATAAAGGATAAATGTTTTCTCTTGTGATAGAGTCAGACTTCCTCTATCTTCTTAAAATTTGAGTCACATGTAGAAATATTTCAGTCATGTTCTAATGCTCATAAAACCAGGAAGTTTTAATTGAAATGATGTAGATCTTATCATATAGACTACATCAGAAGCATCTGCTATTGTCAGAGTATAGTATGGGTAGTCATTATTGATCAGGGTAGTGATAGATGTACTATGGTGTTATCTGATTATGTAGGAACAATTGTCTATTTTTCATCCTGACAGCTACACTATGTTCTATCTGTATGTGGAAAACCGTATGTAGCACATTTTTTGTTGACTCTTTGATGTATAACAGATGCAGCATCTATACTCTACCTTCTCTTGAACAAGAGAGCAGATGCTGTCTCAAGCCTCAAATAAAGAGAGACTCTGGTGATAAATTAGAATGCATACATTTTGTATTATTTAATTTTACTGAAAAAGGGGCAATAGGGAGGGGGTCATATCCAACATTGATTGCTGTTCTTTAAGGGACACAAATGGTATATAATCGTTGAGATGGGGTTGCTAAACTGTAATATAGTCTATACTAGGCTGCAGCAGAGGGTAGTTTATAACTAGACTCTGCGCGAAGGTATGCACCTGTGGTGTAATGATCAACTTGTGAACTGTTTAATATCTATTATATCAATTTTTAAATCAAAATTCAATTATCTCTATTACATTGAAGGGTTAATGGCTATGATTTGATTACAATATATTGATTAGGCCATTGTACATCCTCTGATAATCTCTTTGCTAGGGTATTAGATTAGGCTATGGGAATAATACTTTAACAGGAGGGAATCAGTATAATCCGCTTTCTAGATAGCTATACTAACTTTCAGTTATCATAGTTCACTGTGATCTTGATCTCAGTGTAATGATATAGTCAGCAGTGTTTCAGCTTTAGATGTATTATTGATACATTTTGAAATTGTACAGTTTAATGCACAGCGCCAAAAAACAAGTTTGGCAGTTGTGTGGTATGTAAATCAATGGATGATGTCACCTCAAATTTGAGATCATTCTTTGAACTAAGCCTGTATCTAATCAGAGAATTTAGTCACACCATTGCAATTTTTACCGAATATTATTACCACCTTGCAGGGCCTGTTCTAGGGTTTTTAGTACTAGTTGAGAAGTCATTTAAATTGCTTTATTGACGTGAGCAATATTGTGTCAGGCGTTAATGACTTTAGTCTGGCAATAATGACATTATCCGCCCGGCTATGTTTCCCGGGAAAAGTGATATCGTTCAGTGCGTAAGATTTTCTATTTCAAATTTGCTATTTCAGCCCTGGTCATTAACGGTGGTAATAATAGTAATAACGTCATTTCAAAGGGCAAAATAGTGAAATATTGGACCTTGGGCCGCGCATGTTCATACTGCCTAATGTTGTGAAAGATACATTTAAGACTGATAAGATCTGGTCAAAATAGAAATTACAAGACATTTGTATGTAATAGCCAGGTGGTACTAGAACCAGGGTTCGGCAAAGCAGGAACACTAAACCCTAGCCCAAGGCCCTCGATGTAAAATTCTGGGATGATCGAGTTTTGTATTAGGAATCATAGTGTGATTAATTGGACTTGGTTCTGATATTAATAGTAGCTTATATTAGAATTGGTCAATCCATTCACTCTACAGGCACTCATTAGAACTTGAATGTAACTTACATTGTAAGTACATATAATCTTGGGTAATCTTGTAGTATACTATAGGAATTTGGTTAATCGCAATAATTCTATCTGGAATGTTGAAATGATACATGGATTTGATGCATAGCCTTAAAAGAGAGGGGAGAAAAAGAGTTGTGATGTAAGTTTTTTGACCCTGGGTTCAATTAAAGCTTGCCTTCTCTCTCCTTAACCTTGGAAAGATAAGAAGTGCATTTGGTCATAGGGGCATGAAACAAAAAATATTATTTCTTGATATTTTGAAGGTATATGCGTATATGTAAATCATTTAATAAATCCTGCTAATTCTAGTACATCGCCTATCTGGTCAACCGTTAAGTTAATTATTAATCCTGATCAAACATTGGATCTACTATGATCTACTACCCACACATTGTACATGCAGATAAGAAGAGCATCTACTTGAGTTTTTAGGTGAAGTCCAGTGAATGGACCTGTTTCAGCCATCCACATACTTTTGTCTATTTTATCATTTTGGACACCAGTTGGGATTGGATGTTTTATATCAAACCACCTACCCTTTGCATTCTTTCGACTTTACTTCTTAAAAATGAGCTTCGTCTTCACTCTTTCAGTTTATAATAAATCTTTGATCTCACCGAATCAATCAGAGTTCGTTGTGGAAATACGGATGACTTTCTATCTGGTCATTTCTTCTGACATCATCGCATAGTTAATGAGTACTTATTTAGCACATGTTCCTTCCACTTCGGTGATTGGTTAAGAAAGGATCAGCGTGGTAGATTTTAAATGATTTATTACCCGGGCTGTCACAACCACAAATCTTCGGGGCAGGGCTGCTAAACTGAAATATAGTCAATACTAGGCAGAGGGTAGTTTATAATGAGACTGCACGCAGGGTATAAACCACCATTGAATAACTCATATCCACCCCTCTCTGTTGAGATTTACGATAAAGTCAGTTCTTTGAATTGCTGAAGCTATCTCATTTAAATTCAATCGTTTTGTTATGGAGACTAGGCTTGTTAACGTTTTCAGAAATGTCTATTATTGACATTTTGAGATTGAATTTAGAATTTGATTTTAGATCCAGTCTAGCCCATGAAGTTAAGCTTGACATAATGAGGATTTAGTAAAATTATTAGTTAATTTGTCTGGTAGAAAATATATGTACATGAAGTGCCATAAAATTTTGACTGTAAAACAGTAAAACCACTGGGAACTGCCAAAAGTGTTTGGACGAGCATGTGTTTCAGTGTGAGATTGGAGCTGGAAAAAGTTTTCACAAATCGAATGAGGTGTTTGGATATAGGTCAATTATATTCTGAAATGGATCATGTACTATAGTTCTGTTTGGGGTAATCTAAGGCTATAGATTTCTTATATAAATTAAAGATTTGGTTTTGAATACATCTACTTCAAATTATTTGATTTACTACTAGCTTCATTCACTTGAATTTACAATATTATAATCAACCTTTGGTATGCATACATCTGTTTTATTGATTGTTTTAAAGATTCCAAAAGTTCACTTTTAAAATAGAGTTTGAGATAAAAGGCATAGCAATTGGAGTATTTGAATACAATTTAAAATCATTTATAAAGGTAAGTCTAATAGCCTTGTGTACTAAATATATATGTAGCATTGCACTTATTATTTGAAGTATATTTTTTGCAAATATATTTTCACAAGTACATGTATACATTTGTGTGTTTGCAGAGATTCGAGAGGATCATTCTATAAGTTTGGATTATATTACCTTGGATACATTGGTCTATTACTGCATTTTTAATAGGTGAGTCCCATTATATTTCTTTTATAAGTTCAATAGATGACCATTTTAAGTTTTGGTATGTGACAATCTTGAGCCTAATGCCTATATTGATGCAGGGGGATTCATATCTGGGATCAAACCGCTCATTGCCACAGTAGTTACTTGTTACCATACTTCAAAGAATATAGCTACCTGTAATTTCCCAAAAATGTTAATGTCAAGGCCTTGATTAACCAGAATCTCCTTTAACAGCTTGACCTTGTCTCAGAGGGCAGTATAGTTAAGTGATGGCAAGTCAGGGTAATGCCAGATACGAAATAAGAGCATCCTTTCTATTTGACATTTTTGGAACAGGTGGAGTGGTGTAAGAATGGTGTATTTTATCCATGATGGTTTTTGTATCAAGGAAGGAATATGATGATAATGAAGATATATAAGATGCTGATTTTAGAGGTATAGGGGTTAACAGTTGCATGTCGTCTACCCATTTTAATACAAAGGCTAGTAATACTTCTTGTATATATTGCATGCATTGTCTGATGTCTGCCTTTATTATTGCCACTAAATCACAGTGCCTGTACCTGTAATATGTTGACAATGTAGTTGGTATTTTGTGATTCTTACTGATTTTTACATATAAGAGGAAAGATAGCCATATGCTCTGTCATGATTTCTCTAGAAATGTTTTTAATGGGATCCTAATCTTCCCTGTTTTGAGCAAACGATCTCAATATTCTAGCAGGGTGCATACAAATTTTCAGTAACATTGTATATGTTTTACTTTAATCCTTGGGAGATCATACATTTGATTTGCGTGCAATGCTCATAGTAGGAATTGGAATAATGCGGTTCTAATGTCTATACAAAATAATAAAAAGCAATATATTCCCTGCAACTTTGATCCTAGTGAGTGGCAATCGGTTTTGTTTTGGTCTGGATGGTCTCTTGCACAGTCATAAGAATCTCCCTTAATTTAGCCATTATTTGGGACTTTGCATTAGACTGGTTAAAGTCTAACCAGAAAGTGGTGGGTAAAGTAAATTATTAGATATACTTTGACTTTTAAGATTCTGCTCTTTGCTATGGATTGTTTCTATCATGTTAGAACCACATTCTAATTTGTAACTATCAATTGGTACAAATTGTATATATAAATCTAAAGATACCAACATCTGTTCTACTTGAACTTGTTTTTTTAGCAAGGCCATTTCATTTCAGTTAATGATATATATTTTTTCAAAACTTCTCAGTGGTCTAAGATAACTAAAGCAATAGTAGACTATAGAGGCTTATCAGAAGATTTCTCAACAAAAAACTTCGACACATTATGCAAGATTTAGAGTTATCTAAATATTGTATTTTTGTTGAAGACAGTGTCTGCCAAAGATTGGAATGCTTAGGTAAAGATAGAGGGGTAATATACATTCAAGACAGGTTTAGTCATTCTCCAGAATTACCATTCTGAAATATTTTGAAATCATATATAAGTCAGCCATTTGTAAAGGTAAACTACCTCAAAACAGGGGTAACCAATAACGCTATTTTTACTATCAGCACATGGTTATATTTGGCAATTGATTTTGCATGTTGCCCTCTGGCTCTAGTCTGGAACAGTGAACCCCTATCAGGAACCTGTGTCTAGATCTAATGCAGCATTCTATATGTGCTATGATCTAATGTAAACCAATTACAATTGAAAGTCAGTTAGATTGGCTGAGGCTCTATTTGAAATCATTTTGGAATTTGAATTTAATCCATTGAAAGTTGTACAGCTTAGCGTCATTGAATAGAGGCTAAGTAAACATTCGTAATTTTGAATTAAAGTACTGTATTGTAGTGTTACATTTCGATCAACAAGGCTTTAGGTCTCGTTGACCAAACTATGGTTTGGAATCGGTCCCATTTCAGTTAAAGTTTGGCTACATTGATGGCGATTTTAATGTTTTAATGATAACCTTTATTGAACCTGATATTTAAATCTGTTCAATGACATCATCAGTCCATAATTAAAGAAATCCAAGTTTTGGTTTCATAGATTCTAACTATACTGTATGTTGGCAGACATAGGGAGAGGGGTTTGAGTAAGAGATTTAAGGAATTAATTTTGAAATTCTAAATACGATTTTGGACTTATTCATCATTTGATGTATCTGTGCACCAAACTGTCCAATCAAAAACTGCAATCTGTACCCCTACATACCCAAGCAATTTTATACCAATGAAGAATTTTGATCAACTTTGATGACTGTATTCTGATTCAAAATGTTGATAAAGGTTAGTATTTCAAGTGCAGTTGGGAGAATATCATTTTGATTTAACACTACATTTTCTTAAAGCCATGTTAACATCAAGAAATGAAATAAAGCGTGAATTTCATAGCTATAATCTTCAGAGCTTTTACTCATATCCGCAATGTCTCAGGGACCATTTCAAAACCATTTTTTCTATCAAGGATACATCTCAATTTAAATCTTTTATTTTAGATAGATAAATCATTTCTTTCCCAAGAAGTAAACTGCTTACTCCAAATATTAACATGGTTACCATTCGTTCATCCTTCAACAAATTGTAACCCTTGACAGTTGTAATATCCATGTTGCGGGTTTTGATATGTTCCCCAATAATGATCAAGCTTCTTCACAGTTGAAGGAAAGGTGCTGGATATAATATCTTCTGCAAATGAATACCTGGCAAAATATACTTTAACCCATCTTTTTCTTTTTTTGTGATGTGTCATATATCTACTGTGTCAGAGCTTGAAGATGAAATTCTCTATTGAAGGAAAGTCGTGCCTTAATATTTTCATGCAGTTATTTCTCATAATGTGAATACACATGTTGTTGTTTGGACCTATTTTGATGCAATATTTAGGTCTATGACAGTTCAAATTATTAGATAACAGTTGTCATGATGAATCCAATTTGTTTCTTTATATTTTTTAAATATTTGAGAGTTTCTTCCATGGTGAAAAATTATAGGTTTTCCATGGTGAAAATAGCACCTAAAAGGACTATGGTCTTTGTTTAAACAATTTTCTCTCATTACTTTTGACAGAAACATTGCATGGATTGTTGGTTGTGATAAACTCTGCCCTGTCACTGATAGTGTCACAGAAGCCAAGTTAATTGTCTGTGAGTGACTATTTGATTTCAATCATATTCCAGGCATCACCATTCATGCAGAAGTATGGTTGCTAATGGGTCTTCTATTGCTGTAGTACAAAATAATTCAACCTCAGTTAAATCATGTATGTATTGGGGGGGGGGGGGTAGTACTAGTGAAAAATCTTCAATGATTTTTCTGGATTTCAGAAATCAGTTACTTGGCATTTTTGTGGCATCTTTGCATATAGCCTAAATTGATATAAATGGCAATTGCAATATTTGCTAGCTTGTCATTTTCTAGTAATTTTCAATTCTCGCAACATACTCTATAAATGCTCATGTCTTCTATAGACACAAACTTGTGTTTCGAATAGCAAGAAGACTCCTCTTCAGAATCTTAGAATTGGATTCATTATTTGTCACCCTGACTGGGTATAATATTGCCATCAGGCACCTTTCTTCCATCAATATTCCAAGACAAAAAATCTTGACTTACATCATGCATTCTCATTTATTCAAAAAAGGGATATTTTGATGTAAAAACTTTTGCAAGAATAACCATTAGTATGTTCAAGTTAGTTCTATGGAACTCATTCCTTGTGTATTTCCAAGTTTTCTCTCTATTTCACATTAAGTTTGATATTTCATGAATGGTTTAATCAAAATCAGATAGAATGTAATTTGGTCAAAGCTTTGTTTGGTCAAGATAGTTTTAACTTTTTGCACATTTGATAAATTAATGTGGAACTATTAATTACTAGAGTTGATATGGATCGATGAATTGTAATGGATTTGGGTGATTGGGCTATCTAGCACATCTGTACAAAATTGAACTATTCAGATTTGCAGCAAATTAATAATGAAGAAGTATTCTTGAGTCAGGTCTTTCATTGTACATACCAGGAATTTTTCTCAACCATTTTTTGTCCAGCTAATTATACTGTTCAGAAGATTTTTTTATTGCATTTATCAGAACATGGTAGAGCATCTGTAGTTTCGGTTGCTTTAAGTCCTTGCGTCCCTCTCTCAAATATCAAACACAAGTAAATAATGCAAGTGATCAACATAACCCCTCTGTCATTGAATTAATTTTCTATTAAACGTCTATCGAATTAATGTTCAATGGATATTGGTATTTCACTTACATCGGTTTTACTGTAGATATATAACCAGAAAGTATGAGAATAAAAGGGTCTGTTTACAAAGGTGAATTTTGAAGCGTTATGATATGGAATGAATCAATGGAATGTACATTTATAGCACTCTTTTTATTATACCTACCTATTTGTAAACATTGAGAACTACATAACCGAGTACTACAGTAGTCCGCGATATAGTCTTGCTTTAAGACTGTAGACCTACCCCCTTATCTATTTCACCAACACAAAGTTATGTTGTAGCTAGACTCCACAATACAACACTGTGAGAACTACATAGTAAATGGGTAGAAATACCCTAAAATTAATCACTTTTGACTCCCTCATTAAGTCAATATTTAGAGCAGTCTTACTGTGTTAACCCTCACACCTACACGCCTCACCCCCAAAAGTCTTAATGTCCAGTAGATTGGGGAGGGGCTTGAGTTGAGTGAGACTGCAGAGACTTGAAGCAAAACTCATTTTGGATATGACCAAAAAAATAATGACATCTCAAAATTCTTGGATAAATCTTGTCACATTTTGACAGTTGTGATTTCTCGCTTGGAAATGTTGGAATTGAAATGTGGTCCCAGCTGAGAGAATTGTTGATTAGGCAGGGGTCTTGCTTGATTGCTAGCAGAAGTAATTCTTGTATCTTCATGCGTCAATAAGATTAACCAACCTCAGCTCAGTTTTTATTATCTTTTTAATGTGATATCATGGCAAAAAGCACTCCATTCCCAGATTTCTCACTTTTTTCCCTAACAGACTTTGGGGT